TTTTTATTCAAAGTTGAAAATGATATATAAAAACACTGGACACTGGACATTGCAATCAAATATATTAAATGTTTGTTTGTACGAGTGTGTGTGTGTGTAAAAGGATAATATATTCTTGATTTATTTTTAAACAGAATCGATTTTCGACAATCGATTCACATATCCTATAATTACATTTTAATCATCATTATCATTATTTGTTATTGTTGTCGCAATAATTCTTAACAATAACAGAAAAAAAAGAGATAAAGATTTATTCAAAAACGAAATAATAATGTTGTTGTTGTTGTTGTTGATCAAGTCGATGATTATGATGATAAATAAATAAATGAAAATTTGAGAATTACGAGTTTGACCTATACGTAAACAACATACAGACATATGAACATACCTCGACCTTTTATGTGGTTGTAATGAACGAATATATTAGTCGAGAAAACCTGCTATATTTTCGAAACTTTATAAACGAATATATTATATACATAATAATCAGGTAGTAAACAACAACAACAACAGAAACCATGATAGTTCATTGGATTTAGGCGGTGATGATGATGATGGTGGTGAATAGTCTTTTGCCGAAATTGATCGGTAAGTTCAAGTTTGTTTTGTGTGTGTGTGTGTATATAACCAAACAAACACCATCCAACCAATATATCATATCATTCGCTAAACTTGTTGCGTTGTTCTTTATGCTGTAGTTTGTCATCAAAATTAAATGTGATTGATATGCAATCACCGGCCGAATCGATGACAATCATCGATAATTCATCAATAATCCATTGAATCAAATAAAAATCCAAATCCAAAATTGGATATTTATTTTCGTTTCATATCTAATCCAATATGTTGTTTTGGTGAAGAAAAAATTTTTTTGTTTTGATGATGACGATAGAGATTGAGACCAATTAACCTAATTATTCATTAACGATGATGATGTTTTTTTTCTATACCGACAAAGGGTTTATTGCAGATATAATTTTTCGCTATATTTATGTCTGTAAGTGTAATTTGTTTGTAGATAATATCATAATGATGATGATGATGATGATGATGTAAATAAAAAAACTGGTTTAGTTTTCAAGTTTATCAAAAATTTTATTTCACAACACTATAATCAAAAACATTTTCTATGACATTTTTTTTATTTGAAAAAAAAATTTATAAATTGTCATTAAAAATAGCAAAAAAAACCTATGGTTTGGGATTAACCTTGTCAATCACTATCACACAAACACAAATACATATTTACGGAAAGAATGATTATGATTTTTTTTTGTTTCTCTCATCATCATCATCATCATCGATAAATGATAAATAAAATGAGACAAACAAACAAAAAAAAAAAATAAATAAACAAACGCCATGATTGATTAATCGATTGTTAATTGATTTTTCCATCTACTGTTATCATTCATTCTATCAATCAATATGATATGATATGATATCTAAATTCAATGATAATATCACATTAATCACATTTTTTTTGGTTGGCAAATTATTTTTGAAACAACAACAACAACAACAACAACAATAGTGAAAAACAAACCAATACAAATAACAATACTGAAGGATGTCAACAACAAAAAAAATGGAAACGGAAATTGTTATCGAATTTCAAAATATTATTTATAACATGGTTTTAAATTTGTTTTTTTAAATAAATTCTCATTGATCAATGAATGACTATTGAATGACATTGTCCTTGATGTTTTTTTTTTTTTTTAAAATGAAATGTACGAGTTAATATATATTATAATTAAGCTGAATTGATTGATTAGTGTTAATTATATACCAAATTTTATTCCATATACAAACAAACAACGATTTCACATTGATATATAAACAGAAAAAAAATGATTAGAAGATGAAAATGGCATTTTAAAAAACACCGACACACACACACACACATTCATGATAAAATAAAACGAGACAATGACATCATGAAGCTAATTTAAAGCTGATTATTTATAGTTCATATCAATCGATTGAATTTATTTGTTGTTGTTGTTGTTGTTCTAATTCTGTCGACAAAATTATTTGTGTAAAAAAGAAAAAAAATGTGCAACGTTATCTGAATTTCCAACCAATACAACACACACACACACACACACACATTTGACGACAATTGTGTCATTCAATTGTTTAGAGTTTGATTTTCATTGTACAAATCAGATATTTGGCTGCTGCTACTTGTTGATACACATGGAAACAATTAGAATTTATTTTTGATCAAAAAAAAAAATATCGATCCCATTTGATTTGACAAAACTGACTGGATGAAGAAAAATTCAGGTAACAAAACAAAACAAAATAAAAATGCTGGGAACGAGAAAGTTTTTCAATTTAATTTTCCGATATATAAAAAAAAATGGTAACGATTGGATCCATTAACCTTTTTTTTTATCCTTTTGTTGATTGTCCTTGTATGTGTTTGTATGAAATGACTCGTATTATCACTTTCATTGTTCATATTGGCTATGTTATGATAGATAATATCAATCACTATTGGAACATGATTCTTTACATCCATTATCCTTATCACATACATTAGTTAACTGGTTGACATTTTATATAACATGCTTGTTATCTTGCCAAGATCAATGACTTACTTGTATGTCAGACTATCATCATTATTATCATTATTATCATCATCATCAGCATCATTCAGGTGATTCGCTTCAATTGTCATTTTTTGAAAATTTTTGAACTTGAGAGAAATAGTGATTTACCGTAGTAGTAGTAATAGTAATTGTTGTTTAGGTTATCTTTGTTATTCATTCAATTTATTCATTGTATTATGGAATTTTAGCGAATGAGATGAGTGAGATGAATGACAACAACAACGACGATGATGACGACCTTATTGGATATATTGTTATTGGTATGAATGGACATTTCATTTCCTAAATGATGATTGATCTTGTCGTTCACTGTGAATTTGTCATTATAACGCAACTCATGCTAGTAATGTAGAAAAATGATAATAATGATGATGAATATATGGAAATGATTTATATAAACGCTTGACCTTTGTAAAAGGAATGAATTTGTAAATTTAAGTTTTTTGATGATATCATTTAATTTTGTTTTGTTGTTGTTGTTGTTGTTGTTGTTCGAGACTTCAATACTTTTGCAATTAAAGGAAGTTGATCATAATATTTGTATAATGTAAAATAATTTCCGGCTTTCATGTTAAAAACTAAATGAGTGAAAATAGAATCGAATCAAATGGCGCCCGAATTGAATAGAACTAAATTGACAATTTTTTTTTTTTTTGATGATAAAACCATTATCTGTTGTTCTGTCATTCGTTAATCGTTTCATCTGCATCATTGAAACATGAGCATTATGAAGTGGAAGAGAGAAAAAATGGAAAATAAAAGGAAAGGTGGAACAGAGACAATCCATTAAACTTGTTGCTGAAGACATCCATCCATCCATTCAATTCAATTCAATTCAATTCAATTCAATTCATTCAACTCATTCAACCATCATTTGGAATTATCATTGGCGTGAACCTGTTTAAAGGACACAGGAGCGTTGAAGTGTCGAATAGTAGATACGATACGAATTGAAGAGGGATAGTGAAAAAGAGGGAGAGAGAGAGAGAGAAAGGGAGCAAAGAAGATACACCAACCACGTCAATATGGTGATCATTAATAAAATTGCCAACCACTAAAAAATGGGGAAGATACAATAATGATAATGATGATTATGACAACAACGACGAGAACAACAACAACGGCATCACATCATCATAATCATCATTACAATTATCATTATGATGATGATGATCATCAACAACAAACAACAAAAAGGAACTAGAGTCTTGTTTAAAAGTTTATCTAAAGTTTGTTCAGGTTGGTAGAGAGAAGAGAAAAAAAAATCTAAAATATTCAGGCAGCTTAGTATTATTATTGTCTTTGATTGTTTTTTTTAACCGATTGCAGCAAGAGTTTGCATTTGTTTTGAATTATTAAAAGAAAAAAAATGGAAAATGGATAGAGTTGCACACACACACACACACAAACAAACATGCACGAAATAAAATGGAGAAATGAGAAAAGAAAAGAAAAAATTAAAGAACTGGGAGTGAACCCAGGTGTTTCGCTTTCGTTTTATATAAGTTATATAGGATATTTCTTCGTCTAAAATAACTTGAAATCCTTTTTATAAAAATAATAAGGAATAATGATAGTGTGTTGTTCACAACTGGGCAACAATTGGCCAATTTTCGTTTCTTTCATTGCAATGCTTTTTTCGATTCGATTTTTTGTTGTTGTTGTTGTTGTTGAAAAATCATTTGTGAGGAGTAAAAATAAAAAGTCTATATGTTAAACTCTTCGACACATCATCATTAGATTTTTTTTTTTTTTTTGGTTGGTTTTTTCGGAATTGTTTGTGTAATATTACTTACATTGCTAATGATGATGATGATGATGACATGAAATGACTTTTGGATCGTATATAAATAAGTTTAAAATGAATATAGAGATAGTTGACTGATCTAAAAATGGTGATCGCTCATGCTTGATTGAAAATTATTGTAAACTGAAAACAATCATCGATTACAGACAGCAACAACAACAACAACAACAACAACAATGATACCAACGTGTATTTAGGAAATCGAAATCAAACAAAAAAAAGACCAATGAACTGAATGAAAGATATCGATAGATGATATTGTTTGATGAACCATGACATACACACATTGATTATCGAATCAAGCAATTCTTTATGGAATTATGACCAATATTTTTGATCAAAAATCTCAGGAATCAAAGAAATATGAATTCAAAAAAATACTGATACTGTTTCGCCATCTAGTGAAAAAAATATATAATAATGATTTTTAAATTTTAAATCAATTCGACCATTAGCTCTTCAAATAGGACGGATGATACAAATTCATTGATTACATTGATACATACTATATGGGCAGCACTAGGTCTCGAAAATTCTTCGTGAACATGTGAATTGCTCAAGCATTGCATGTGAGACATTTATTAGCACACCAGATTTTTTTTTCGCTGCGTTCGGCTTCGATTTTTAATTCATTTTTCAAATTTTTCACTATTTTTCGAAAATTTATTTCATTTTCAATTTAATAAAATCTAAAAATGTCTACCATACTTCAAGCATCACGATTATTATCTCGAAACATCGGTTTAGCCATGTTTAAATTGCCGGCTCGAACACACGTTTCGATTGTTGAACAAAATGTAAGTTATTTCAGTCGCACTTTTTGATGAACTTGGATAACAATCTTTTATTTCGATACTTTTAGTCATCTATTTTACAAAAATATCAAAATTCATCGTTAATCAATAAAAGATGGAAATCCGAACAAGTCAGAGGTCATGTTATTGGTATCGATTTAGGAACGACCAATTCCTGTGTTGCCGTTATGGAGGGAAAAACACCCAAGGTTATCGAGAATGCTGAAGGTTCACGAACAACACCATCAGTTGTTGCCTTTACAAAAGATGGCGAAAGATTGGTTGGCATGCCTGCTAAACGGCAAGCTGTCACTAATGCTGCCAATACATTCTATGCGACAAAACGTTTGATCGGTAGGCGATTCGGTGATGCCGAAGTGCAAAAAGATATGAAAATTGTATCATACAAAATTGTCAAAGCATCAAATGGTGATGCTTGGGTTGAAGCACATGGTAAAATGTATTCACCATCACAAGTCGGTGCCTTTATCCTGATGAAAATGAAAGAAACTGCAGAAGGTTATCTTAATCAATCTATCAAGAATGCTGTGATCACTGTACCCGCTTATTTCAATGATTCACAACGTCAAGCCACTAAGGACGCTGGTCAAATTGCCGGTTTAAATGTTTTACGTGTTATTAATGAACCAACTGCTGCTGCTATTGCTTACGGTATGGATAAAAGTGAAGATAAAATTGTGGCCGTATACGATTTGGGTGGCGGTACATTTGATATTTCCATTCTTGAAATACAAAAAGGAGTTTTCGAAGTGAAATCAACTAACGGCGATACGTTTCTTGGTGGTGAAGATTTTGATAATGCTTTGGTCACCTATCTGGCTAATGAATTCAAAAAAGACCAAGGAGTTGATGTAACAAAAGACATAATGGCCATGCAACGTCTTAAAGAAGCTGCTGAGAAAGCCAAAATCGAATTATCATCTTCATTACAGACTGATATCAATCTTCCATATTTGACAATGGATTCTGCTGGACCAAAGCACATGAATTTGAAATTAACTCGATCTAAATTTGAATCACTTGTCGCTGATCTTATCAAACGTACAATCGAACCATGTAAGAAAGCTATCGCTGATGCTGAAGTTAATAAATCTGATATCAAAGAAGTTATACTTGTCGGTGGCATGACCCGTATGCCTAAAGTGCAGGAATTAGTTCAAGAAACATTCGGTCGGGCCCCGAGTAAATCTGTCAATCCCGATGAAGCTGTAGCAGTAGGTGCAGCTGTACAAGGTGGTGTTCTTTCTGGTAACGTTACCGAGATCCTTTTATTGGATGTCACGCCACTTTCTTTGGGTATCGAAACATTGGGAGGAGTAATGACCAAACTTATCAACCGAAACACGACAATTCCAACGAAAAAATCTCAAGTGTTTTCAACCGCTGCCGATGGACAAACACAAGTCGAAATTAAAGTTTTTCAGGGTGAACGTGAAATGGCTTCCAATAACAAATTATTGGGACAATTTTCACTAGTCGGCATTCCACCAGCACCGCGTGGTGTTCCTCAAATTGAAGTCACTTTTGATATCGATGCCAATGGTATTGTTAATGTATCAGCTCGTGATAAAGGAACCGGAAAAGAACATCAGATCGTAATCCAATCTAGTGGTGGCTTGTCCAAAGATGATATTGAAAATATGATCAAAGCTGCTGAAAAGTTTGCCGAAGAAGATCGTAAAAAACGTGAAATTGTCGAAACAGTTAATCAGGCCGAAGGCATTATTCATGATACGGAAAGTAAAATGGAAGAATTCAAAGATCAATTACCATCGGAAGAATATGAAAAACTTAAGGAAAAAATTGCCAAAACACGTGAAGTATTGGCCAATAAAGATAATGAAACACCAGAAAAAATTAAAGAAACTTGTAATGATTTGCAACAATCATCATTGAAATTATTCGAAATGGCTTATAAAAAGGTGAGTTAATTTTTTAAATTTAAATATATTCAGACAGATATTTAACATTTATTTTCTTGATTGATATACAGATGGCTGCTGATCGTGAATCATCATCATCATCGTCATCGTCATCATCATCATCGGATTCAACTACAAAAGATGAAGATAAAAAAGAAGAAAAAAACTAAAACTCATATATAAACAGAATATTGTTAAGTGAAAATAACCAATTTTAATTACACACCTTTTTTTCTCCACATATAATATAACACACATGTAGATTTTTCTATTCTATTATTTTTTTCCATTCAAATCAAGTCGTAGAATTTGTATTTGTTAGAATATCTCATATATTTGTTCCCGATTATTTTCATTAATTTTTATTTTTTCATTCAATTAATATTAACTCAAATAAAAAAAAATTCAGTTTCATATTCAAATAAATGAATTTGGTGAAAGACCTTACAAATATAAAAAATAAATTTTATCAAAATTGTAAAAAATGAAATTCACTTGTAATGATTTTGGTCGTTCATAAATGTTTTTAAGTGAACTGGCTGGATATGATGATCATTGTGATTACTAGATGGCAACGTTTGTTGTTGTTGTTTTGTGATGTCCTGATTTATCGGTAAACTTTGACAATAACGATAATGACCAAATGGTGTATGATTATTTTGGTCATTGTTGTAACCACCGAATCTTGTTACTGTTTTCGCCGTTGATAGCAATGGTGGAAGTGGTGGTGGAGATGGTTTCAATGAATGTTGAAAAGTAGTCGATCCATCATTCGAATTTATTACAATTTGTCGTTGTTCATTGACAAACGGAATTTTGTTCGTGATGGATTTACTAGCATCAATAGTTTTCGTCGTCGTCAATGGTTCGTATATATCATAATAATCAAGTTGGCTAGATTGTTGTTGTCGTTTGTCACATGTTCGATGATAGTCGATCGAAATCGAATCATCATCATCAATAGATTTAATTTCGTTGCTGGTAGTAATAATTGAATTAATTCCATTGTGAACAACAATAGAATTCCTATTATTATTGGCATTATCATTATTTTTATTCCTTTGGTTGTGGTTTCTAATGCTTTTTTCTATATGGTCATTATTATTAGTCACAACAGTATGTCCACGAACAAAGGTTTTGTTGTTGTTGTCGTCGTCGTCGTCGTCGTTGTTTTTTGTGGCTATATTTTCGTGTGAATAATCATTATTCATATAGCCATAGAATGCAATTATCGCATAAATCAAAAATGTCAATACAATGAATATTGACAATATGATTGAAACTATATGAAATGTAGGCATATTAATCATCGATAATTCATTGTTTTGTTGTTCAATAATATTGTTTGTGGACAAAATATTTGAAGTATATGCATACGTTACGGACGTTGTTGTTTTTCTAGTTGATACAGTTTGTGTATTGGCCAATTTATTTAGTCGAAATGCTTTTACTGCTATCATTGAAACGGTTTGTTTGATCCATGAATAGAATCCACGACATATATTCACAAATAAATGATCCAATAAATGCTTATTATCATTGTCGTTATCATCATCATCATCATCATCATCATGGTTATTATTATTATTATAATCTCGTTCTTTATGATAAAGCAAACGTTGTTGAAATTTTAACGTTAAATTCATCGATGATAATGCCTCTAAACGAATATGTTTTGATTGTATATAATGTATTTGTGAACGATTCTCAATATTTAGCTGTGGATCGATAGATGATCGGCCATTTCTGACCACTAAAAAATGTGAATAATCGATCGATGAATCTTCATCATTGACAACATTGTTGTTGTTGTTGTGGTTGTCGTTATTATTGAATAATGTTTCAGTAAAATATGTAGCTAACATTGGATTTTCTGAAAGCCATTCAATACTTGGTTCAATATTTTTCAATTCAAATGAATATTTTTCTGGCTTGTCAATTGAAATAATGCATACAGTAGGATTGTTATGATAATATTCATTCGAATCTATTTGATTGTAGATGTCAAATTCATTCATTTTATTTTCCATGTTTGTATTATTATTATTATTCTCGTCATCATTCTTATTGTGAATTGGGATTTGTTTCTCACTGTCAGCATTATTATTATTATTATTTGCTTGATCGATTCTTATTTTATTATTCTTTTTCCGTTTGTTTCTTTGTTTCTTTTTGGTTGAATTTTTCAAATGTCTCTTTTCTTCCACATCATCATCATCATCATCATCAACATCAGCATCAGAATAAGCATTCGGATCAACAATATGATTGAATAAATAATGATCTAGTAAGGCTGATTTAGATTCATAAAATTTTTTTCGTACAATTTTTGAACAAGTTGTTATCATTAGATTTATAATGATTGTTTTTTTATTGTTAACATTCAAAGTTTTCAAATCTAATTCTTGAATTTTTTGATTGACATGATTAGTATTTGAATCGAATTTACAACTACACGCATGTGTTTGTACAATGACCGTTTCTATTTCACCAAGTGAATTACTTGAATCATGATTCATCGGTTGAAAAGCGTTTTGCTTCTTCTGTATTAATCGTATATTGGATGGAATCCGGTTCACTGATGAATTATTTAGTGCTCGTACATCCATGAATGCATTGTGGTTGATTGATGTTGACATTGAATGATTTTCATCAAGTCTATTCTTCTGTATGAATGATTTGTATTCGTTAAAAGAATTATTTTCATTGAATGTTTCAGTTATTGTTGCTGTTTCTTTGTTGTTGTTGCTCATCACTGATTCATCGTTGTTAGTGTTATAATTGAATTTAATCTCACTTGGATACGACAACGACGATGATGACACAGCACGATGTTGACCATCAACAAAGATATTCCGGAATAATGTTGTTGAACCATTCAACTGGACATGACCATTTTGTTCTATATTTCTATCTATAGTTGGAATACAATGTGGTATATTCTCATATAATACAGCACTTTTATGAAGGATTAAATAAACAATACAATAGTAAATGTCTTCACTTGGTTGAAATGAATCGCATGGAATTTTTATTAGCCCACCACCACCACCAGCAGCATTGCCATCATTATTATTATTATCAACGACACCAATATGATTATCATGATCATCACTTTCCATATCCAAAGAATATTCTCGTACATAATGAAATTTTTTCATCTCAATCAATGTTGATGGTCGTGTAGAATAAAAAAAATGACTAGGCTGACTATTGTGGTGGTGGAGATTAGTTAGATTTGTCGTATAGCGGATCTTTTTATTTCTTATTTTTCTTTTCTTGATGTTATTGTTATTATTATCATAATTTGAATTGAGAAAATGTGACAATGATGGCCAAGATCTATTATGTGCTGTGAATAATGTCCACATGGGTTTTCGTTGTCGTCTTTGTCGAATATCATGTCTATGTAATAGTTGTCGTTGATGCTTAACGGCAGCCGACAAAACTTTATCCACTATGTCTTTTTTGGTCCAATATAGACGTATCAGATGGCGAACATTCAAGTTGTCATTATTTGTCGATTTAACTATTGGACCTGATGATTGAGTATATTGTTGTCCAGAATAATAATAATAATAATAATCATCGATACGATGAACTTCCCAAAAAAGTCTGACATCAAATGTATCCAAACATGGAAAAACAGTTGGTGCCGTTTGAAAACGGGCGTTCAACATTGATATCAACGGTAATGACCAGTTCAAGCTCGTAATTGTTGTCGTTGAATGATGAATGGCTCTTGGATTCTCTGATCATCACCAAAAACATTGAATAGAGGAATGGAACAAAAAAAAGAGACAAAAAAAGATGAATGAATAAATAAATAAAATTTGATATTTTCTATCATCAATTCGAATGTTTCTATACGAAAAAACGAAAACAATCATCATAATTGCCATTGAATCTAATTATTATTTTTGAATTTAATCCTGAAACGAAACAAATCTATGATGATGGTGAAAAATACACACACACGCAACTATAATGTACACACGCACGTAAATTAAAGCCCGAATCTGTATGGCATGCAAATAATTCACATGAATTTGAACTTTTAACTCATAGATTCCCAAATGACATCAATAACATTTGATATTGTTTCCGTTTGAAAACTATATGGCAACAACAACAATAATAATAATAATAATAATAGCCAATTGATCTCAGCAGCTGCAAAGTTTGTCCAAATAGTTTTTGATCCAGTATATATATTGTGTATGCTGGTGAATGTTTACCGAATGAATTGAAAAACCAACAATTTGCACCAGAAAGCAAATATCATCAATATTGAAACTTGGAATTTATAGATTTTTATTATTGCAATGTGCAATATATATTCTTGTTGTTCGAATATCGTTAACTAAAGAATCGTTTGTATGTGTGTGAGTTTTAGTGAAAAAAAAATTCACTTTTTTTTCACATGGAAAGCTTTATTATTTTTGTTTGTCGAAATGTTTGTTTCGTGTTTGTTTTGTCCATCATTTGAAACTTTCATAATGTTGTTGTTGATGATCATTTTTTTCAATTCTACTACTCCTCCCTATTTCTTATATCAACATTTTATCGATTCAATCGCCTTTTTTCATTGGAATTTGGATACGCCCTTTCTTGTTGTTTATTATGATAAAATGTTTAGATGTTCAACTTTACATTGAATGACATCCATGAATTGTAAGATTGTTGCCAGAAAAAAAACCTACCATTGAATTTCAAGTTTAATTAATGTGATAATAGCAAACAAACGAAATGGTCATTATAATGGACAATGATTCTAAACAAAATTCGGTAACACGAAGTGAAAGAAAAAAATTTCTTTTTTCAAAATCAATTGAAAATTTTTTCATTTTTTTCAAAATAATAAAATTCTGAAAAATTGAAAAAAAATAAAAATCGATACATGAGGATATTTATAGATTGACTATCATTTTTTTAGTTGTACGTTTTTTTTCACACCCGAAACTCATTAGTTCTTGCTGAAAACAAACACAGAATTGTTTCGTTATTTGAAATACACTACTGCTAAAACTTTCATCATCATCATCATCATCATCATAATTGATTGTGAGAGTATCCTAATGACGATGACGATGTTAAATGAAAGAAAAAAAACTTTTTCTGTTATCATTGTACTTTCCATTTAATAATTAAAAAAGATTCGTTGGATGATAAAGAACAAAATTTTGCTTTGTCATCATCATATTGTACATTGAATTCTGGATAATATCAAAAGCAAAGGAAATGAATGAAAAACTTTAATTCATTCAGCTATCTGATGAATTTTTTTTATCATTTTTTTCAAATATTAATTCACATTCTTGGGCAACTGTGCGGAAATTTCTTTTCTTTGAAATTGTTTTACATTTTGTCATACATAAACGATCCATAACACAAAAAAAACAAAAAACAAAAAGATTCCAAAAAATACAATGTTCATGTTGGGTTCATAAACCAGAAGAAGGGAAACAAAATTAGTTATTACGAATCAAACTTTTTTTTTACACACACAGGCCCCTTATGCTGACGACGATCAACCGACGTTGTTGATGTGTATATGAATAAATTGTTTTTCCCTATATGCGAAACAAAAGAAAAAACCGACCAGGATCTAGCGCAAGATTATCGATCCGATTATTGTGGCAGCAGTCTTTCAAAATATTTATACCGAATTAGAGGATTCAATTTTCGTACACAAAATTGCCAAAATCGATTAAAATTTAGTATGATAGAATTTTCTTTCAGACTTTGCTTCGCTAGCTTTGCTACGATTAAATTATAGATACATTCTGATGATAATACGGATAATCAATCCGTCAAAATAACTATTGCAACAACATCGAATTTGATTGAATTTGATTCATTCATGCTAAATATCTAATAACTGTTCTTCTTCTACATTCTGTACCGTAAAATTTCGAATACTTTTGTCAATTAATATCGAATTACCGACAGAATGACAGAGACTGATAAATAGATTCGACCGAAATATTGAATCAGATTCAAATATATTATGAACATCAATGTTAGATCTTCATCATAATTAATTATCTTCATTGCTCGAATAGACTTTTTTTCTATAGTTGGCGACGTGTGTGTGTGTGTGTGAATGTAATGGACCGAAAAAAAAATTAAGCAAATTGATTCTAAGAAGCCAAACTCATAATATCAAATCATTTCCATTGTTAATGTGTAAAAAATGTGTCACCAAAACGTTTATACAAACAAACATTGACAGGAAACGGAAAAAATGAATAATTTTCATCATCTTGTGAGAGTGATTCTCGAGAATTTCAGGAGATAGAGGAAAATTCATGATTTGAATTTCAATATTATTTCCTCTTTTTCTCTTGAAAATGAATGGCCGTGGATCAGCCATAATAAACAAGCACAACAACAAAAAAAAGTTCCACAGCATGGATCATTGAATAAATCTTTTCATTCATTGTTTTTAGCCACGAAAATTTCAACAATAGATTTTTCATTTGATTTTTTTTCAATTGTAAGCCTCTCTTTGAATATAATATGAATCGAATATGAAAATGGTACCAAAAATATTAATGCTACGTGCTTCTTCATCAATATCAAAACATGCAAAGGATTTTGGAATTCCATTCCATTCCATTCGATTTAATTCTACACAGCAAGTTCATTTTGGACATAAAGTTTATAGAATTGATTTTTTTCTGTTGCTATACTGTCGTGCATGATGATAACTCAATTATTTGTTTATTATTACTGTTTCCAATGTCTATGTTTTTTTTTTGTTTCCACACAAAAAAAAGTTCATGAGTTTTTTCACATAGAGAACTAACTAACTTTTGAATTCTAATATACATGAAAAACTTTTTGTTAGATGATGAAGATGCTACATACAAACACGAAAAATAATTTCATTGGTCTATTTCTGATTCGAAATTCAATATTGTATATGTAACAAAACGAATTTCATTTCTTGTTTTGTTCAATAAATCAATCGATCGATAGATTGTAATTTTTCTTTTTGTCTGAATGAATGAATGAATGAAAATGAACAAAGACGGCAAAAATAAGACTTTTTTTTGGTCGATTATTATCTGATTCAGTCAAACAATCATAATTCGAATAAAATCAATCATTGATCAAAAACATGGACAAAATTCGATCGTAATTCTTATTTTTCTCCTAAAATATGATTAGATCAATCACCATCGAATCGGGTTAAATTTGGATTTCATTTTTTTTCAAAAGAGCCGAAAGCAACAACTATTATTTCTGTGAAAAAAAGTTTAAATCGTGATTTGAAAATCAAATCATTCAAATATATTTAAATATCAACACACACCAACCAACCAACCAACATCTCAACATATACAATGATTGATTTGTCAACTTTGTATCCTACACTATGATGATTCTTGTTTTATTCTGTTTTTTTTTTTTAGTTCAAATACATTTCCGTGTGTTATTGTGAATTCAATTTCAATGTTATTATCACACACAGGAATAGAGAAAATAAATTTTTTTCTTTTTTTTTGGTTAGTTTCTTTCCTCACTATATACAAACTCAATCATCGTCATGCATGATGATTTTTTACTCAATACACACAAACTTTGACGGTCGTATTATTTTTCTTTGATTCATTCGGTTTGGTATTTGGATTGAAATTCAGTTTTTATTTTGGTCTGGTTTACTACACGAGTGGATCGACGAGTCCAAAAGAAAAAAAAGAAGAAAAAAAATTCAAACCTCAAAGACAAGTTTTTTTTTTGATTTCTACGTTTCAATTTTCATTTCATTTTATATACATCTGGTTCCTCTTTGTGTGTGTGTGTTTGCAAACATTGCTTTTTGAAAATGAAATAAGCTGAATGTTGTTGTTGTTGTTGATGATGATGATGATAATTTTCAATGGAAAATGAATGAAATTGTGCGAAAATGAACCAAATGAAAATATACAAATTGTATCAGTTTTCTTTCCTCTGGTTAATATATGATAATATTATCTTCATCATTGGTGTGATATATAGACATTGTATTTGTATAATAATTTTTTTTTCTGGCTAGATTGTTCCATCATCATCATCATCATCATTATCAACAGACGTTTTGAATGAATAGGCAAAATGTTTTTATTCTTTTTGTCGTATTCATTCATTCATTCATTTATACATGGAAAATGAATATTCGGTAAGCTTTTATCATCATCATCATACATTTTAGGGTCGTTTTCATTTATTTATTCTATCTATCTATTTTTTTTCTATCTGATTCCATTGAATTCAATCAGGCTATTCTTCATTATGCGAGAAAATATAAAAACCCATTGGTTCTGATTCTTATGGTCACCAATATGGACCATCACATCAATTATTTTTTTTTTGTAATATATGAATAAAATATTCAGCAAACCAGAATAGAATTTTTTTTTTTTGTGACAATGAATGACAAACCGTCATATACAGACATATATTCGATGTGTGTGTGTGTGTGTGTGTGTACATAGTATGAGATAATTTGCATTTGGTGGATATATAATATTTTGCATTTGTTCAAGGTGGTTTGATTGTTTTGTTTTGTCAATCAATTGTGTTAGTGTGTGTGTGTGTGTGCGTTCGTTTTGGAATGAATGAATGATATTGGATGCATATAATGATCCTAGTATTATGGATCACATATAACTCTATTATACATTTGACATCAATTTCAAATTTGTATTATATAAAGCCTACTACTAACTACTACATTGATTGAATTATAATCAACCATAAATTTTAGCCAAATTCAGAATGAAAAACTAAAAATAATTATAAAAAACGACGGAAACGGATATCAACTATTTGGCAACATAATAAAAACTGAACAGAGAAAGAAAGAGATCGAGGAGGAAAGACAAACAATTTATTTGAACAAATTAATAATTCTATATATTTGTGATAATAATGGCGTTTATTTTCGTTATTATTCAACATAATCATGAATGAATGGTTTTGTCAAATGGGTTCCCATTATTGATCCCTGAGAAATGAAAAACAAAAACAAATAAGATCAATATCTTGATTTTGGTTGTGAAAAAAAAGGCAGAAACCAAAAATGGAGATAATTTTTTTTATGTTGGATAGCGAATGCGTTAATCAAATGACTTTTTTGTTTCACTACTCGCTGATAGTACAAGTGGCCAAAATATTATTAGCAATAATCATAATAATAATATAATGACGACAGGACCAGAAAAAAAACCATTTGAACCAAACAATTTTTTTTTGTTTTTATTTTTATTTTTTTTCAGTTTCATTTTTTTCCTGAAATCAAAATACTCTACATGACATAAAAATCAATAAAACTATTCGTATGCTGATCACACACACACACACACACAAACAAACGAATAAACAAATATATTTTCATCATCATCAAAGAAAAAAAACAAAAACAAAAAATCAAAATGAAATGAAATTCATCCTAATAAACAAGAACAAACATGGAAACAAACACAAACCGACAAATAGAGATAGAGATAGATATGAACAAATGAAGCCTGATATCTGTGTTTGTCTGTGTGTGTGTTTTTTTCATTTGGAATTTTTTTTTTTTTTTGATTTTCTGTCATCCAAAATGAAAAACAATTTTTTTCTGCTGTTGTTGGTTGGCTTCATTTGCAGATCTAACAATTGTGATAAATTATGAGTAAATAAAAAATAAAAAAAATTTGTCCACTAAGGACATCATCATCATCATCATCATGCTGTAGGATCAACTTTTCACCTACAACGTTTGTTTGGTATTATGGGAATGTAAATGAATATATTTTGGAAAAAGCAATGTTTTTCATTTGAATAAGAATATCATTAGCATCTTATATATAAATTTAAATTATCAAGTAATTTTTATACTGGTATACACTATTAGGACTCTTGAGATTCTTTTCTTTTCATTTTTTTTTCATAATCATTCAGACATTCAATTATTCAGAATTTCTCGATGTCATTATTTTGTACATTAATTCACTGGTATTGTATGCAGCTATAATTTTACACCGATGGTTACCGTAAAAAATCAACCGTTTCTTTTTATTTTTCGTTTTTCAAATTTACCGAATGATTTATTGCTTTTTATATAGATAGTCTGTTACAAAATTCATTCATTCATTCGTTTCGTATAAATTGCATTTTTTCATTGTTTTTAAAATTAGATGTTGTTGCACATTTTTGAAATTGAATAAAATAGAATAAGAAAAAGAAAAAGTATAAATAAAGAAAATTACCTTTCAGTGGATTTGCATCAACTATGATAATTTTTGAATAAAAATTGAACAGTACCACCATCATCATCAACATCATCATGATTGTAAATGAAATTATAAAACAAAATGACATGGCCCGATTCAGAATTGATATGGATGGTGGTGGTTGTAATCACCCAAGTTGTTTTTATTGTTGAAACATGGTATAGAAAATTTTTCTTTCAATAGGAAAATGTATTCAAAACTTGATCGATGTATTGTTGAGTAAAGTTTCGAAATAATGATGAATACATTATTTCGTTGAAAAAAATTTTCTATTCGTTGTCGTTGGATGATTTTGATTGATCGAATGAATGCAAAACACTATACCGGAATCATTTTGTATTCATCATCACATTATTTTTTTTGTTGTTTATACAATTCGTGATTAACCTGATGATTTGTTTGTTGATGTAATATCATTTAGTTGATGATTGTTTCAAAAATATTTTCTGGTCACTAAAGAAAAATTGCACGCAATCAAAATGAAAAAAATGAATTTTCAAAAAAATTTATTCAAAAACTATCCAAATAAGCTGATATAATAATGCAACATAAACATGACATAACATGATGGTCGATCTTTACAAGTCCAAGTCCAATAGTGAACTGAGAAACTTTAAAAAAAAATTCTGTTTTGTGAATCGCACCACACACACACACACGGAACAACAAACCCAATACAAGAATCACGCGGGATTGATCATGTTGTAGCAGCAGCATCTTTTGACACATGCGAATAATCGAAAATATAACAAAGATTGCCAGAACATATAACATACACAAACACATTGTGTGTTCCAAAAACGATCCATGTGTATCTTTCAAATAGAACAATTTATTCTATTATTATTATGTATTGAATAAAATCGAATATGATGATGGTATATATTTTTCTTTTTACCAATTATATTGGATATATCTCGGGGTATTGGATTTTGAATCAATTTTTAATTAGCTTTTGTTTTGTTACACATGATTATGATGATGACGATGATGATGAGATCAATGACAATAGCATCGAAATCCATCCACAATCATGTCCCCCCCATACACACATACTGTAAATGACAGCCAATGAAACGATGATGAGCTTTTTTTTCGTTGTTGGTGAAATTATATTTTGGACATATGAAAAAATATTATTAGTTTTATTATATAAATAATAAAACTAATAACAATGACAGAAGCCACCGTACTATGCTTATGTTCCAATAGAAAGAGATGGAGAGAAACTATGGTAGTTTTTGTTCTTGGTTATAAAACGATGAAATTTCCATTATAATTCTCATTTTTTTTCCTGTGTACAACATTCTCTGACCAAGCCAAATTGATGATGATGATGATGATGATGACAAAAATTTGATTAATGCCAACGTATGCATTGTTAATTTATAATTTGTATCACTCATCACTAATGTCAATTATTTGCACGCAACTAATTAAACATTTAGAATTACTATTAGAAAAACAGGCCCAAAAAAATTCTAATTAATCATTAGAGAAATTAAAGATTGATTAAACAAAATAAAATCGAAACCGGAAAAGTGGATGATTACCAAAAGTTAATAACTACTTAAATTTGAAATTCAATAAGTTGTTTTTTTCAAGCAAAACATTGTCATATCATTATTGTTATTATTCGAATTCGAATATGATGATTTTATAATTGGCATTTTTATGAAACGAACAAAAAAATAATTAATGAAATCATCGTTATGTTGCTCGTTATGATGCTCTTTTCATCATGACATGACAAAAACAACAACTACAACTACAACAACAACAACAACAAAAAGAATTGCCTGAAATGATCATTGGTTGCTAAATAATTTAGAAAATGGCCTATCCGGTCAATTAGTGTCATCATGAACATTAATGTGTTCGGGTCGAGGGGCTTTCATTTGAGTTAATTAAGATTAATGATAATTTACCATAAGGCACTTTTATTTTTCTTATTTTTCGAATAAAAGGATGCACACATTTTATTTCATAGAAAAAATAGGCACACAAAACATAGAATGAAACATTTGTTTTTCTTCTTTTATTACAAATGAAATTCTGTAGAGAATAGAATCGGTTTTTCAGCAACATTAACAGTAACAATGTTCGTGTTACGATCAAATTCATTAGATGAACTTATAAATTTTCCAAATTCAAGCTCAATATTTTCATCAAGATTCCAACGTAGACCAACAGTTTTAACTTTAGCTTGCCCACATAAAGGTATCAATGAACACCAGTTAGCATCATCAAATTTCGGTATTCGATGTGATGAACCCTGAGACAAGAAAAAAAAATTTAAAAAAAATTGTAACCATAATTCATTTCGTATGACTCACCTTTTTCAATACAAAACTAATCGAATCGACCATATCGACTAGAATTATAGGCGGAAAAGTTTTATTGTTATTACTGAAATTATGGACAGTAGATAAAATCGATAAATATTGATCGATTCGTCCTGAATTTGAAAAGAAAACCAAAATGCAATCAATTGCAGGAGTAGTATTCAGATTCAAAACTTGTTCATCCAGAATAAACAATGCTTTTGTAAAATCCGTGTGATCCTGATCGGGCGTATGCATAATTTTTATATTTTCTCCACGTTGTTTAAAGTGATCCATCACTTTTGGATGAATTGAATCAAAATCACCGCTTAAAAAAGTAGGATCGAGAAGTTGCCCATCATATTTAGCATTAGATTGCTGCATATCGTAAAGAACATTTGCACCACCATCCACAGCCATACGAACGCAACTATTGTTCCAAATTTCTTGAAAATTTTTAAACTTTTCATTGCATAAAAATTGATCTATTGATTCAAATTTCGATAATATTGTATCGAAACAATGATTCAACATCATGACAACAATATTCTTATCTGAAAAAATGCAATGAACATTATTGTAATATTTTCTTATAGAAAAATTTAAGGGAATCAATACTCACCCTTTCCATGACGTTTGATTGTTTTTAGACAATTTTCCCAATCAAAATCACGGGTTTCTAGATTCATTTTATCCATTTAAAATCTGGACAGCGATTGATACTCAAAGCTGATAATATTGCAAATGATTGCTTCGATTGACTAGCATCCACAATTATATACTGGATCTAATTATACATTTTGTACATTAGATCGTTTTTACATTCTAAATATAGTTGTTTATTAGATCATTTTTCCATATTTGTATCAAATCATTGTTGATAAAATTTATCAAACATGACCGGCATCCCATTCGGCATGATGCACAAAAAATTGTATTCAAGAATAAAATCAAAACAGGACTCTGGATGGCGCCACTAATTTAAATTAAAGTTTGATACAATCGATTATCAAATGCATTTACCACGTTTTCACAGGCCAACGCGTTCACTTTTTTTTGTTTGTTTGCATCATTATTTTGTTGTCTGTTTGTTATGATTATGGTTAAATTTGCAAGCAACAAATAATTCAACTTCCACATCCAAATAAAATGCATTGAACATTCAATATTTTTTTTTTACATTATTTTCCAAATAAATTTTCCAACAAATACACATAAACACACACACACACACCCAAACACGTATTTTCAAATTATTGAATTAATATAATATAAAATTTATTGTAAACGATTCTGTATTTTTTTTTTGTTTTATTTCCCATAAAAATGTCTAAACAAAAACAAGACCACAACTGTATGACTGATGAATCGGTTATTGTAACACACGTTAATAGCCCTACACTTTTCTATTGTCGTGTTGAACAAGATGTTGAACGTTATGAACAATTAACAAAATTAATTCGACAACACATCGATTCTGAACCACATTCGATGCCCGATTTGATTAGACGAAATTCTGTTTCTGGTTCTGTTATTTTGGCTTTGGTATATTCGGATATTCACAAGGATTGGTGCAGGGCCAGATTGATTTCGATGAAATGTGATCGCAATCATAAACCAATTTGTGGCAAGGTAATATGATGGATATAGTTTTTTTTATCATTACATTTAAATCAATTTTTTTTTTGTCACAGGTTTTGCTTATTGATTTTGGTTCAATCGAATTCGTTTCCTGGAAATCGAAATTCGTATCAACATCAACATTAGAAATCGATGATTTTAATGAATCTCGTGGCCTATGTTTTCCTTGTTCACTTGATAATATAAAACCATATGATGATGTCAAATTGGATTCGGAAAAACCGTTGCAATATGAATGGACAAGCTATGCTAATTTCATGTTCAAAAAGGAGACAACAAATGGAAAATTCTTATTGAAAGTGATGAAACCGGATTTATTGAATGATAAAATTATTGTCTGTGATTTATTACCCATGAATGATTGTTCTAAACTGGATGAATTTCCTTCATTGAGCCAATATCTTGTCGATTCAAAAGTAGCTCGATATATTAATGTATCGAATTTTTAATGTTTTTTTAATTTTTATTATATCAAATGAAAACAATTCTCAACTAAACAATAAGAATTTATTTTCTTTAAATTTTAAACATATTTTTTGGTATTAATCTAAGCTAATAATAATCATATGCGTGCTGATGGATATTGCAAACGACATTGTTTCAAAGCTTCATTGAAACCTTCACAAAGGGTAAGATCATAATTTTGTGTACAATCTAAAAATTGTTTCAATTCAAATTGACATGGTGATTGTTGTTGTTGTTGCTGTTCAGATCCATATTGTGATTGAGCTGGAACTTGTGCTGGTGCCTGTGTTTCCGCACTTTGTCCACCTCCCGATCCAGTAATTGCATGACCAATGGTATGTCCAACTGCCGATCCAATAGCTACACCACCAGCAGTTGCGGCCATTTGTCCAAGAAGTCCTGGGCCTTGTGATGGTGCTTGAGCAGGTGCTACAGCGGCAGATTGTTGCCGCATTGGAAGTGATTGTGATGGAGCAGGAGGTGACATTGGTCTTGATGCGGCCATTCGTGGTTGACTTGGCCGAGCTGGACCAAACGATGATCGTGTTGGTGATGATGATAGTGATGAACGTCCACGTCGAGCCATTGTTATTTTTTCAAATTATATCGCAAGAATTTCTAGGAAAAAAAATCAAAATATCAGCTTCGAAAAAATACGCAACTAAATCTTGTGATGAAATGATGAGCAACAACGATTATATGAATAACAGATAGGTCATTTCTTCGAAAATCAATTTACGCAGCCTCAATGAGCTAGCATCTTGCTTGAAATGTTTTCGGAAAATTTCTTTTCCCATGCTTTTTATTTTCTTGAATCTTCTAGAATTTTTTTTTAATTTATAACATATAGCGTTTAAACATTAATTAATTAATTAAAAAGCTGAATGGTGGATTTTTTCCCTGAAAAGATAAACTGCCAAGTTTATTAATCCTTTACATAAAATCAGATTTGGTCAATTTCATTTTATTCGAAAAAATAATTTCTCACGTTCAGAAATGGAGTTGAAGGTAAATCATAACGCCATCTATTGATTCTGATTCTGACTAAATATGATTTATTTATTAACTGAATGACATATATATCAACCGATAATTTATGTATCCTCAAGTTTTTTTTTCTTTTTTTTAGACCACCGATTATTCATCCATTCATTTTATTGTCGTTTTGTATTACAGAACTAAATCAAACAAAAATTCTTCAAAATTTTTTATCCAATCATACTGCGATCAACGAACTGAAAACAAAACTCACTAAACTTTCTCTTTTCTTCTCTTAGCAAACAAGCCATACATCACTTTCTTCAAACAAAAAAAACCGAAACTAAACCAAGCATCCAAACTAACTCCCTTCAGTTTTTTTTTTTTTGCTTTCAAAATGAAAATTACGACAATCCGATCATATATGAAATGAAATGAAAGTGAAGGAAAAAAAATTTTCCCATTGATTACTAAGAAACGACTCAGGAAATGGATGTTTGTACAAAATGAACATTAATTTTTTTTTCTTTATATTTTGATTCATAAAAAAATCTTTGAAAATCCTATGAAATTTTTTTTTATTTTCTTGGTATCCAAAACAATGTACCGCATCACAGGATGAAGAAAATAAAGGAGAGAAAGAGGGATAAAAAAAAAAAAGAACGAAAAACATTTGGTCCTGTGATGTTGTGTGCCTGATGCTAATAACTTATGGAAAAATGGCAAAAGCAAAAAAAAAACCCGATGCAAATGGGGTAGAGACCTAGGTGTGCGTGTATGTTTGCATAACTCATCATTATCATAACGTATTATTACATAACACATGTTGGTACTGAACTTTGACCCCATTCATGACCTCTTTTTTCTGGATCGATTTATGCCTGATGTTTTGGGTAGTGATTGCACGAGCAATAATACAGCATCTTTTTTCTTTTTAAATTATAAAAAATTCGATTGAAATAGACGAAAGCTTGTGACATAGAAGGTGAAAGAGAGAAAGAGAGAGAGAGACAGATTTTCTTCAAGATCTTTTGTGTCATATCCAAATGATGTGTGTGTGTGTGTATGGGAACCGTGTGATTTTTTTTGTCAAAAATAAAACGGTGATGTGATCACAAGAGATCGATTGAATTTGAAAATAAAAATGGATTGAATACAGTCATTCATCGTCTTCATGAATATTAAATGATGATGATGATGATCAGGATTATTATCATCAATTTGATTTTTATCTCTTGTAATCATCATCAATCATGATGGATGTGTTTTATGTGTGTGTGTGTGAACAAAAAAAACGAAATTCATGAACAATTAATTAGTTGAATAAACTATTGATGATTTACTGAAAATTTTTTAGTGTATCAAAAAGAATGAAAATGAAAAAAAAATTTTGATCCAGGAAATTGACCGTTTTTGAACACCGTAATTGAATTTGATTTGTACGCATCTGAGATTGTCGGGTATAAATGTCTGTGTGTGTGTGTGTGTGTTATTGTTGGGTTTATTTTCACCATCCATCCATCCACATTCACATCGTCGTTCGATATACAAATTATTGAAAAGCTATTCATTTTTCTTTCTTTCCTGGTTACCCTGGATTTTTGAATTATTGAAATTAGAACGAAAGGTTGATGAGGGGTTGTTTTTTCGATTTTTTGAATTTTTATTTATTAGGTCACACATGTTCAATATTTATCGGATTTTTTTCATTCAAATTACAAAAATTCAATATTAAATTAGGACACAGGCAGCGGTGGCTTTGGCAGCTAATATTTCATCATCAAATTGAAAATTGGGCGGGCTTCAAGCCTTTTGGACCGAATGTAGAAAAAAAAAAAAAACTCCTTTAGTCTCTCGTCTCGAACATTTCAGAAAAAAATGAGCACGGCCCATCATGATAAAAAGCGATGATCAGGTTGATATTAGGCAGCATTAGTTTCCCAAGCAGCAATTAATCAGTCATCATTTTGTGTCCATTATCGTTAGCCGAAATAACCTAAATTTTCTTAGTGATAAATGCGAAAAAAAATTGTTTTAAAATTTTGTTTTAAATTTTTTTTCATTATTACCTTACAATGTCCATCCAAACGACAACAGTGTTCTAGCTACATGGGCAAAATTCCAGTTCATTTATTTAATAATTACAATTAAAACAAAATATTGTCACTACAAAATTAAAAACAACATTGTCCATCGCACATTATGACGATACCCTTGTTTTGATTCGGCCATTGTCATCATCATCATCATCATCATCATTGTCCTCGTGAGTGATTCAAAATAATAACGTTTGTTTCATCAGTGATAAAACAAACACGTGATCATCATTTGTCATTAAATTATACAATTCAATCGACAACGAAAAAACAAACGATTGTAATGATGTTCCCTGTCACTAGGTCACCTGAGACATTAACTCGTGTGTTTCTCATTGAACAAATGATTTTTGTTATAAAAAAATTCATTGACCACAAGCTAAGGTCTCAGGGACAGAGGAACAGGCCACACACACAAATAAATAAACATACGCCAATACCGCACAACGTTAAAAATACACAAAAAAGCCTAATGGGTCGAATATTATTATCGAAAAAAAATATAAAGAATTTCAATAATTATAGAAAGAAAAAAAAATCGCTCTCAATGGTAGAATAAATTGTAAAAATGTAAACAACAAAAAAAACTAACATACCGACATAATTCAAACCACAATTGAAATCATGTTGAACCACCACAACCACCACCACCATCAACATCATCATCATCACACCAAATACAATTTTTTTGAAGAAATTGAAGATTTTTAAAAAAAATGTTAAAACAATAATTAATCATTCCCATTGACAATAGCAATGAACCCGAAAAAAAAATTTGATTGAAAGAAAAAAAAAGTGAAAAAAGAAAGAATTTAAACTAAGAAGTGATGAGGAAGGGATAGCGCTACAACTAAAATTCGTTGCTTATTGGCTCGCCGAACACAATAAGCTAGTAAGTTGTACAGTTTGGCTTTGATTAGAATTTTTTTCCCGACAATCTTGAAATTTTTCTTCAAATCCAAAAAACAAATAACACTTGTTTTTCATTCATCATCATCATCTTGATCTCATCATTCACAATTCCAGATATATGCTGTGAATCGATCGAATTCTTGTAAACATCAAAAAACAACAAAAAATCAAAAACAAAAACAAGTGATACTAAGAGTTTTGGAATAAGAAGATGTCAAATGTCAAAGAAAAAAATGGCAACTATACAACCTACTACCTCAGTATGGCCGAGGCACATTAATATATTGATAATATAAAAGAAAGCAAAAGAAAAAAACTTAATAAGATTGAAAGTTCACATGTAATGATTAGTAGGAAGCTAAATAAAGACAACACATAGAATCAACACATGCAATCAACTACTAAAAAAAGGTGTAGTAGGTTATTTATTGATGTATCAGCTGATTGTCGCTGCGTTGACACACCAAAATACATACACATTCACACAATAATTGTACAAAATGAAAAAAAATAGATAAACAATACTAAATAGAATTGAAGAATTAGCAATGAGAAAAAATGACTAATCTTATCTGAAAAAAAGAATGGTAAATAAATAAATAAACATGAAAAAAATGACAAACAAAAAGAACGAAAAAAAAGAAGGAAAGTTCAAGATGAAATTTTTTTTGACTTGAACAATAATCTTGAAGAAAAAGGGGTAAATTGTTTTTTTTTATAGAAACCCCTTTTTCTTCGGGTCCAATGCAATTTTTATTGTGTTGGGAATGATAATAAACAATGAAATTTAAAATATAAAATTGATGTTGATTGGTTTTTTTTTTGTCAGAATTGAAGAATTTAGGCCCGATTTTTTTTTCATTTATGGAATTAATAAAATGAATTAAATAGCTGAAAAAGAAAGATGTTTGAAGTTGTTTTTTTTGTTCTTGTCAACTGTTTCACTAAATCATAATCGAAATCATCATTATCGGTGGAGAAAAAGTAGAAAAAAAGGTGAAAAAAGATTGAAAACAAAAACAAAAACACCGATTAAACAAGTAATTGATGAAACAAAATTATATTATGAAGTGCACTTATTCAAATCACACACACACACACACACACACACAACCACCACTTGCATGTAAAACACACAAACAAAAATATTCACCAACAATCAACATAGCAGCATACATCGTTATTGTTTTTTGTTTTCATTCAAGGATTCAAGGGAAAAAAATTTCATAAATTGGGTTGAAATAGATAATAATAATAAAGATAAGGATGGATTGAGATCGAGAGAATTGTTCAAAAGATGGGAAGAGAAAAAACAATTTTTTTTTTATGTTCACAGTTTATACATTCCAAAAAAACTGCCTATACCCATAGATAGAAACTTGTGAATTGGATCGAATCAACAACAACAACAATCAATCAATCAATCATTAATGGAAAATAATCTTAAATAAAACTTTTCCAGAATTTTTTTTCCCAAAAATGTATATATAAGGTAGAGAAAATAAATATTCTTGGATTCAAGATTCATCAAGATTTATGGTTGTGTTGTTGTTGTTGTTTTTGTATAACACAAGTTCGAATCTACGGGTAAAAGCAGTTGGCCAAATTTTTTTTTTAAGTTTTTCTATTAAATTGTGGAACGAATATTTTTGGTCGATTTTTTTGTGATGAGAGATTCACAGTGGTAATCAATCAGTATCTATATATATATACGAACGAATAGAAAAAC